TAATTATATATTAATACATTATTACATATCAATACATTAATATATTATTATACACAAATACATTAGTTATATATTAATACATTAGTATATATAAATAAATTAATATATTAGTATACACAAATACATTAGTTATATATTAATACATTAGTATATTACTATATCAGTATATTATTACATCAATAATGTATATTTACAGAAACAAAGGCACCAATCCTTGTAGTATGTGGAAAGAGATTTAATAGTGTTTTGTTCTATTTTAACACTATATTATATTAATTATATATTATATTATATTATGTTATATATTATATTATATTATATTATATTATATTATATTATATTAATGTTCCCATTTCTATTCTATTCTATTCTATTCCTATTATTTTATTTTATTTTATTTTATTTTATTTTATTCTTTATTATAATTCCATATTATGTTAAGATCCATTTTCTACATAACATCAATAGCCTTTAATATAAAATGTGTAATTTCCCTATATCCTCTATACAATACAAATTTATTTGCTTGTATGATAAAATCCTACACACACTTTTAATCCATCAATATATAAACTTTAAAAAACTTTAATATAAGAAAAGTTAATACTTTATACTTTTATACTTTAAAAATTTGTATAAATGCATACTTTAATATGAAATTATATGGATACCTTTTGTGGTATATATTATTAAAAATGGGATCAGATCTTTTCCTTTGTTTCTCTTCCGGGCAGGGATGGGCACAGCTGAGTGGGCAGGGGGAACATCTGGATGGGGCACAGCCGGGCAGGACACATCTGGGCTTGGCAGGGGCACAGCTGGCAGGGGCACATGGGGGTGAGGGGGACACATCTGGATGACCAAGGCACATCTGGCGGGGCCGGGGCGGGGCCGGGCGGTGGCGCCGGGGCGGGGCCGGGGCTGAGCGCGGCTCGGGCGGGCGGCAGCGGAGCCACGGTGAGGGGCCGGGGCCGGGGCCGGGGCCGGGGCCGGGGGTGTCCCCTCTGCCCGGGAGGGGCCGGGGCGGGCCGGGGGCCGCCGGGGCTCCGAGCATCCCGGGGGCCGGGGGCTGCTGCCCACCGCGCTGCCCCACACCCACCCCCGCCCCCAGCCCCATAATCCCCTCGCCCGTGCTCTATAACTGCCCAGACCCCAGCCCCACAAATCCCCACCCCCTGCCCTACAACTGCCCAGACCCCAGCCCCATAGTCCCCTCGCCCCCCGCCCTACAGCTGCCCCGGCCCCCTGTCCCATAAACCCCCGCCCCCTGCCCAGCCCCCAGCCCCATAATCCCCTCGCCCGTGCTCTGTAAGTGCCCAGCCCCCAGCCTCATTATGTCCCCTCTCCCGGCCCCCTGGCCTATAACTGTCCAGCCCCCAGCCCCATAACTCCCACTGCTCACACCGGCTGTGGGGGGTTGGATACCCCCGGGGTCCCTCCCTCGCCATGGGGGGCCGTGTTTGGGGTGCCCCCATGGTTTTGGGGTGCCCCCGGGGTTTTGGGGTGCCCGCTGTTGAGGCTGCCGTGCCCCAGGCGCTGCCCGCTCCGGGTGCCGGCAGGATGGCGCTGCTCCCCGTCGTGGCGCTCTTGGCTCTGTGCCCCCTCCTCGCCCGGACAGGTACCCACGGGCAGCGGGGTGGGGGGTCCGGGCAGAGTCCCCGCTCCCCGGGACCCCCTTCCCAGCCCCCGTTTCCCTCCCCTGCGCGGACACGGCGGCGGGGACCCCGAGGGGAGGGCGGGGAGCCGTTCTCGGCAGGGCGGTGACTCACGGGGCGGCTGCTCGGCACCAGCGAGCCCTCGGTGCTGGCACCGGGACCTGGCAACACCGAACACCCGGTCCTGGCTCCACTGAGCCCTCGGTGCTGGCACCGGGACCTGGCAACACCGAACACCCGGTCCTGGTTCGTCCGAGCTCTCAGTTCTGGCTCCACCGAGCCCCCGGTCGTGGCATCACCGAGCCCCCGGTCCTGGCTCCTCTGAGCCCCCTGTCCTGGCACCACCTGCCGTGTCCCCACAAATGTCCCCTGTCCCCTTCAGAGCCCCCTTGTCCCCCATTCCTGGTGTCCCCACGCGCTGACCCCGCCGTGTCCCCTCCCAGACCAGCCTCCTGTCACCGTGACGGTGACAGCGGCCATCGGCGAGGACGCCTGCCTGCCCTGCGGCTCGCAGCCCTGGGGTGACCTGCGCGGGGTCACCCTCAGCTGCACCCACCAGGCCGGCGGCCACCTCGCTGTCCCCGTGCTCAGCCACCGCCTGGGCTGGCACCCGCCGCCCCCCGAGCCGGGCTGGCAGCCCCCCGTGCAGCCCGACAGCCGCTTCAGGGGCAGGGTGGCCTTCTGCGCCGCGGGGACAGGGGACAGCGGCGTGTCCCTGCTGCTGAGGAACCTCAGCGATCCCGATTTCGGGAATTATTCCTGCTACGCCGTCAGTGCCGCCGCCCCGCAGCTCCTCTGCTCCCTGGTGCTGCAGCCCGCGGTGGAAGGTGAGCGGGGCAGGGGTGGCACTGTCCCTTTTGGGGTCCCTCTGCTCCCTGGTGTGTCCAGTTCTGTGTGCTGCCACAATTTGGGGGCGCCCCATTCCCTGCTGTATCTGTCACCTGCCTTGTCCCCTGGTCCATCCCTGTCCCCGTCTGGGTGGTTCCTCACACTCTTCACCTCAATGGGGTCCCCCCATTCCCTGACTCATCTGTCACTTCCTCCATCCCTGTCCCCATCTGGATGGTGCCAGAATTTGGGGGTGCCCCCAGTTGCCTGATGCATCTGTCACCTCCTCCAGCTCTGTCCCCATCTGGGTGATGCCAGGTGTCCCTGCTCTGTTCCCCTGTCCTGTTTGACGTTCCCACAAGGTGTGTGTCCCTTGTCCCACCTTGGCAGTGCTAGGTGTCCCTGCTCTGTCCCCCTGCCATGTTTGGGGTCCCCACATGCCCTGTCATGTCCCTTGTCCCACCTTGGCAGTCCCAGGTGTCCCTGCCCTGTCCTCCTGCCGGATTTGGGGTCCCCACGTGCCCTGACATGTCCCTTGTCCCTGGTGTGTCTGTCCCTTGTCCCTGGTGTGTCTGTCTGTCCCCGGCTGCTCCCCCAGGACAGTTTGGGGTTCCCCCAGCCTGGCACGGCACAGGGAGGGTGGGGTGGCCCGGCTGGTGTCCCCACGTGCCGGTGTCACCCCGCAGAGGTCCCCAAGGCCGCGGAGCCGGACATGTTCATGGTGATCTGTGTCCTCACGGCCGCCTTCACCGCGGTGGCCATCGGGGTGCTGGTGTGTGCCCGCTGCCAGGGCCACTGCTGGGGGCGCCCAGGTGGGTGCGGGGGGCACAGGGAGGTGTTGAGGGGGCACAAAGGGGGTGCTGGGGGGCACAGGGGGTGTTGTGGCATGGGGGCAGCTGGAGACCCCCATGTCCACTGGGGATGGGATTCTGTGTGGGGAGAGGATTTCCAGCTCCCATGTGGGGATGGGATGGGATAGGATGGGATGGGGTGGCATGGGATGGGATCCATGGGGTGGGAAGGGATGGGATGGGATGGGATGGGATCCATGGGGTGGGAAGGGATGGGATCCATGGGACAGGATCCATGGGATGGGATGGGATGGGATGGGATCCATGGGGTGGGAAGGGATGGGATCCATGGGACAGGATCCATGGGATGGGATGGGATCCATGGGATGGGATGGGATGGGATGGGATGGGGTGGGATGGGATGGGATCCATGGGGTGGGATGAGGTGGGATCTCTGGGATGGGATGAGGGTGAGGAGGGAATGGGATGGGGATGATGGCAGGGTTGAAGAGAGGGCAGGGATGAGGACAAGGGTGCAGATGGTGACGGGACAAGGATGGGGACAGGGACAGGGATGGGGACAGCGCTGTGTGGGGCCAGGCTTGTCCCGTGTCCCCACTGTCTGTCCCCTCAGCACGGGGCCCAGCCCAGGAGCCCGCAGCCGTGGCTGCAGGGGAAGAAGGAGAGGTGGCCTTGGGTGACATCAAGAGTGCCAGCGCCTGAGGCCACCCCAGCTGGACAGGTCCTCGTGTGACATCGGGGCAGGACATGGTCCCGCCTGCCTCAGTGGAGGGACGGGGGGGGGGGCGATGCTCTTGGGTGGGGGTGCAGGATGGGTTTGGGGGTGCAGGATGGGTTTGGGGGGGTGCACGATGGTTTGGGGTGGGGGGCTCTGCTCGGACCCCCGGGGATGGGGAGGGGACGGCTTAGGGGACCCTCCAGGGGACACCCAAACCCCGGGGTCCCATGGCTGGGGGGGGGGGGCAAACCCGGAGACCCCAAATAAAGAGCATTGCTCCAGAGTGGGGGTGATCCCTCCTTCCACCCATCAGGGGGCTTGGGGGGGGATGTTGGGTATGGGGGGACCCTTTTAGGGTTGGAGTGTGGGGCCACAGGGTGTCCCCGTTTAGGGACAGGTTGTGGGGTCACAGGGTGTCCCCGTTTAGGGACAGGTTGTGGGGTCATGGGGCGTCCCCATTTAGGGAGAGGCTGTGGGGTCTCAGGATGTCCCCGTTTAGGGGTGGCTATGGGGTCACAGGTGTGTTCCCATTTCGGCACAAGCTATGGGGGTCACGAGGTGTCCCCATTTAGGGACAGGCTATGGGGTCACGGGGGTGTCCCCATTTAGGGACAGGCTGTGGGGTCTCGGGGTCCCCATTTAGGGGTGTCTGTGGGGTCATAGGGTGTCCCTTTTTGGGGACAGGCTGTGGGGTCCCGGAATGTCCCCAAGCGCGCTCGTTCCCTCACGGCCGCTGGGCGGCGCTGTTGGCAGCGGGGCAGGACTGGCCCCGCCCATTGCCCCGCCCACGACTCCGCCCTTCAAACCACGGACAGGTGCTGCAGGGCGGGGCGGGGCCCGCGGGACTGAGTGACGGGCTGCTAATCCAATAGGAAGGCAGAATGAGGGAGATCCAGCCAATGAGCGGGCGGGAAGGGGAACGGGCCCGGGGGCGGGGCTCGGTGGCGCTCGCCGCGGGGCGAAGCGGGGACCGGTCCGGTTCGGCTCCGCTCGGCTCCGTTCGGCCCCGCTCGACCCCGCTCGGCCATGGCGAAGCGGGCGGCGCTCCCCGCCGCGCCCCTCGGGGACGATTTCTCCTTCGTGAGCCCGGTGGCCAAGTACGTGCTGTTCTTCTTCAACCTGCTCTTCTGGGTGAGTGCGAGGACACCGGGACACCGCGCTCCCGAAGGACGTCCGCACCCGGGGGCTGGCCCCATCCCTGGGACACCGCCGTCCCCGGGACCCCTCATCCCTTGGGAATGTCTCCATCCCTGATCCCTATTGGGACTCCCCATCCCTGAGATCCCACGGGGACCCCCCAGCCCTTGAAATGTCTCCATCCCCGAACCCTTTTGGGACACCCCAGCTCCAGGGACCCCCAGCCCTTGGCAATGTCTCCATCCATGAACCCTTTTGGGACCCCCCATCTTCGGGACCCCCACCCCCTGGGAATATCTCAATCCCTCAACCCTATTAGGACCCCCCATCCCTGAGATCCCATTGAGAACCCCAGCCCTTGGAATGTCTCCATCCCTGAACTTTTTTGGGATCCCTCATCCTCAGGGACCCCCGGCCCTCTCTCCAGCCCGGGACCTATTTTGGGACCCTGCATTCCCCCAGCCCACCTCCATCCCCACGATCCTACCGGGATCCCTCTTGTCACCAGCCCTCCCCAGGGACATCTCCTGCAGGGAAGCCACAGTTTTCCACGTTTGGGGGCATTTTTAATGATTTTTTTAATGTTTTGAGGGATTTTTATGTTTTCGTAAAGTTTTATATTTTGAGTATTATTTTATGTTTCAGGGATTTTTTAAAAACGTTTTGGAGATTTTTGTACTGCTTGGGAGGTTTGGGGTTTTATGTTTGGGGGTTTTTTCTTTATGTTTGGGGCTTTTGTGGGGGTTTTTTTGCAGGACTTTTTGTGGGTTATTTCCGTGTTTGCAATCCTATTTTTGAGGAAGTTTCTCACTTCCCATAAACCACATTGCTGTGTCCAGCCACCCGTAGAGGAACAGCACTGGCTGGCGAGTGACCTCCCGGGAGGTGGGGACAGACGTGACCTCCCAGTGGGAGGGGACACGGTGGACACCGTGCGACTGGGGAAACTGAGGCACAGCGGCTGCAGCTCGGGTGCATCCCTGGCTTTGGGGGGCTGCAGGTGGGGCCGTGGGTGTGGCACAGGGGTGGTGACAGCTGCGGGGTCCCCGTGTCCCTCTGCAGATGATCTCCATGGTGATGGTGGCCGTGGGGGTGTACGCCCGGCTGCTGAAGCACGCAGGTGAGCTCGGGGGTTCCCGGCTGGTTCCGAGCCGCCAGCACGGCTGGGGTGGCACGTGGGGTCCTGGGCGTGCCGGCAGTGTGGTGACAGCTCGCCTGTGGTGACAGAGGCGGCCGTGGCGTGCCTGGCAGTGGACCCTGCCATCCTGCTCATCGTGGTGGGCGTCCTCACCTTCCTCATCACCTTCTGCGGCTGCGTGGGCTCCCTGCGGGAGAACATCTGCCTGCTGCAGGTGGTGAGTCCTGCCAGGGCTGGCTGGGGACCCTGCTGGGGACCCTGTGGCATCTCGGCGCTCCCCTCACCGTCACCTTCCTCTTCCCCTCACCGTCACCTTCCTCTTCCCGCAGTTCTCCGTCTGCCTGACCATCATCTTCCTCCTGCAGCTGGCGGCCGGCGCGCTGGGCTTTGTGTTCTCTGATAAGGTACTGATAAGGGAGGGCACTGGGGGTGCTGGGTGGCCCCAGCCCTGTCCTGCTGGGTGACAGCCTCGCTGCTGTCCCTGTTTGTCCCCCAGGCCCGCGGGAAGGTCAGCGAGATCATCAACGGCGCCATCGTGCATTACCGGGACGACCTGGACCTGCAGAACCTCATCGATTTCGGGCAGAAGGAGGTGACAGGGGGGGCCTGCAGGGTCGGGGTGTCCCCATTTCCATGTCAGGCTTTAATCTGTGGGGTGGCACAGGCTGGGGATGTTGGAGGGCTCTTCCAAGATGTTCACAGTGATGTCCTGCCTGGCAGGGGGAGATTGGGGAGGGCTGGGGGCAGAAAGCCCCGAGTGTCCTGTCCCCCTGCCTGGGCTGGGGTCCCCTCCCCGCTGAGCTCCGTGTCCTGCCCGCAGTTCAGCTGCTGTGGGGGTGTCTCCTACAAGGACTGGTCCCAGAACATGTACTTCAACTGCACGGCCACCAACCCCAGCCGCGAGCGCTGCTCCGTGCCCTTCTCCTGCTGCCTGCACGATGCTGACCAGGTCTGTGCTGGGGTGGCCTTGGGGACCCTGCCCTGTGCCTGTGCTCCCTGCCCCGGGGGCTGGGCTGGGCCTGGAGCCCTGCCCAAGGGCAGGGAACACATATGGACCCCATCTCAACCTCTGGGTTGGGTTCCCCCATCCCACTTTCCAGGTTTTGGTTCCCCATCCCACCTTCTGGATTTGTGTCCCCAGTTCCACCCTCTGGGTTTGGGCTCCCCCATCCCAACCCTTGGGTGTGGGGACTCCTGTGTGGAAATGCTGTGGTGAAGTGGGGGAGAATTCTCCCTCTCCAGAGCTGGAATTGGCTCTTTGGGGGCAGGTGGCTCTGGAGGGACAGCGTGGGGACACCAACAAAGGGACACCCCACCAAGGCACGGGCCAGAGCTCCCGGTCACTGCACAGCTGCCCCCCAAGAGCAGGGAGCCCAGTGTGTTCTGTCCCCAGCCCCTCTGTGCTCTGTCCCCTGTCCCAGGCTGTCATCAACACCATGTGTGGCCACGGGATGCAGGCCAGGAGCTACCTGGAGGCCAGTGCCTTCATCCACACCAACGGCTGCATCGACAAGCTGGTCAACTGGACCCACAGCAACCTCTTCCTGCTGGGGGGCGTCGCCCTGGGACTGGCCCTGCCCCAGGTACGGGACTGGGGGACCAAGGGCTGCCCCAAAGCTCTGCTTTGTGGGGTTTTCTTGGGGAGCTGCCTTAATGGGGGCTGGTTGTGAGATGGGGGAGTTGGGATGGGATTTGGGGTGGGGGAGTGACACAAATGTCCGGCACAGGGGGCATGGGGTGACACTGCCTGGTGTGGCTCAGTACCTCCCTCTGCCCTTCCTCTTCCTCCCTCTCCCCCATCCCTCTTGCTCTTTCTCTCCCTTTCTCTTGCTTTTCTCTCTTTCCTCTTCCTCTCCTACTTCCCTCTTCCCCTTCCCTCCCTCTCCCTTTCTCTCACCTCTTCCTCTTCCCTTTCCCCTTCCTCTCTTATTTCCTTCCCTGTTCCCCTTTCTCTTCCCTTCTCCCCCCTCTTCCTCTTCCCTTCTCCTTCTCCTTTGCCTTCCCGTTATCTCACTTCCCCTTTCCCTCTCCTCCATGTCCCCTTCCTCCTCTGCCCTCCCTCTCCTTATCTATCCCCCTTTCCCCTCCCCATCCCTTTCCTCTCCCCATCCCTCTCCCTTTCCCACTCCCTTCCTCTCTCGTTTCCCTCCCCGTCCCTCTCCCCTCCAGCTGGTGGGCATCGTCCTGGCGCGGCTCCTCATCAACCAGATCCGCGACCAGATCAAGCTGCAGCTCTACAACCAGCAGCACCGGGCAGACCCCTGGTCCTGAGCCCGCACCCTCCCCGCGGCACGGCGGCGCTCCGGGGCCATTCCCGAGCCCCGGATCCGCGGGGACAGCCCGAGGGGCTCCGCTGGACGAGAGGGAATGCAGATCTGGGGTGGCTGCACAGGAGACTCCGTGCCTTTGGCCGCCGGTGCTGAGCTCGGCCTGGAGGCGCTGAGCTGAAGCAGCGCCGGGGAATCGCTGTCTGTCTGTCCGTCCTGCTGGCGCACAAAGCTTCGCACTGGGATGTTCTTCCCCTCCCCGCCTGCGCTGGAGAAGGACGTTTGTCTGTCTGTCTGTCTGCCTGTCCGTGCAACCGAGCTGCCTTCGCCCAGGCCGGGCTGCGGGGCCGGGGATGTCCCCCCCGTGTCCGGGCGTCCGTCTCGGTGTCGCTGGCCTCGGGGACAGCCGAGGGGACCGAGGGGTGCCGGGCTGTGCCCGTTCCTTGCCTTTCCCGGACAATAAAGACACGAGGCCGCACGCTGCGGGCTGTGCCGGGCTGCAGAGGCCGCGGGGGACACCGCGGTGGCTCTGGGGACACAGAGGCCGCGCCAGGCCCTGTGCTGCTGTGAGACCCCAAAACGAGAGGAGAACGCGGCTGAAGGGCCTGGCCCGGCCCCTCGGAGCTGTCGCAAACCGTGGGTGGAGTTTTTGCGGTTGGGTGTTTAGTTTTGTTTTTTTTTTCCTTTTAATGTTCCCTTCGGCGCGGGCTGGGTGGTCCCTCCCGCGGAGGGAGCCGGGATGCGGCCCAGCGCCCCGCTCTTTGTGTGCGGCCGGGACGCTTCTCTCCCATAAAAAAACCCTTTTTTTTGGCTTTTTTCCTCCTCAAAATCCGCCTCATCCCCCCGCCGAAATGGGATTTCTTCCCCAAAAGCGATTGCTTCTCCGAGCAATGGCACCTCCCAGCAAAAAAAGTGATATTTCCCCCTCCAAAACTCACCTTTTTTTCCCAAAACTTCCCCTCGGAAGAGCTACTTCTTGCCCAAAAATGCAAGTTTACTCTAAGTAGTAGCTGCTCTCCAAAAAAATTTACTTTTCCCCCTCAAAATCTCGATCTTTTCTCCCCAAAATCAACTTTTCTTCCCCCAAAAGGGACTTGTCCCCAAAAGCAACTTTTCTTTTGTGCCCCCCCAAACTGATTTTCTCTCCCCCAAAAAAGTAACTTAGCCCTAACAAAGGAACTTTCCTCCACAAAAATCAAGTTCTCTCCCCCAAAATTGCCTTTTCTCCCCTAAAATTGATTTTTTTCCCCAAAAAGAGTATCCCCAAAAAAGATGTACCTTTTTCCCCCAGAAAAAGTATATTTTGTCCCAGAAAAGTACCTTTTGCTCTCCAAAAAGTAACTTTTCCCTTAAAAAAGTAACTTTTTTTCTCCCAAAAGTGGCTTCTTTTCCCCCAAAGGAAACTTTTCACCTCCAAAAAGGAACTTTTTACTCACAAAGGCCTTTTCACCAGAAGGACATTTTATTTCACAGCAAAAAAGGGATCTTTTCCTCACAAGAAGGAACTTTCCCCTCACAAAATTGATATTTTCCTCATATAAAGTGATGGTTTTGTCACAAAAGTGACTTTTTCCTTCGAAAATTTGACCTTTTTGTCATAAATATGAACTTTCCCCTCACAAATAGTGACTTTTTCCTCACAACAAGAGACTTTTTCTTCAAAACCAGGAACTTTTCCCTCACTATAGGTGACTGTCTCCTGACAAGTGAATTTTGCCTCATGAAAAGGGAACTTTTTCCTCCCAAAAGGGACATTTTCTTCACAAAAAGGGACTTCTTCCTCACAGGAGTGACTTTTTCCTTCCAAAAAGCAACTTTTTCTTTAGTAAAAAGAGCCTTTCTCTCACAAAAAGTGACTTTTTTCCTCACGCTAGTGTTTTTCTGCACAAATAGGAACTTTTCCCCTCAGAAAAAGGAATATTTTCTCACAAAAAGCCACTTTTTCTTCACTAAAGGAACTTTTTCCTCACAAAGGCCTTTTGTGAGGGGGACTTTTTCCTCCCAAAGAAACTTTTCCCTCACTTTTTAGCGACTTTTTCTCTCACTTTTTAGCGACTTTTTCCTCACAAAAAGGAACTTTTCCTAACCAAAAGTGACTCTTTCGTCACGAGAGGAACTTTATCCTCACAAAAGTAGATCCTTTCCTTCCAAAAAAAAAGCATTTTCCCTCACTTTTTAGCGACTTTTTCCTCATAAAAAGGAACTTTTCCTGACCAAAAGTCACTCTTTCGTCACGAGAGGAATTTTTTCCTCACAAGAAACTCTTTCCTCCCCCAAAAAAATCACTTCACCTCACTTTTTAGCTACTTTTTCCTCATAAAAGGAACTTTTCCTCAGAAAAAGGAAACTTCCCTCAGAAAAGGAGACTCTTTCCTTCCAAAAAAAAGCATTTTCCCTCACTTTTTAGCGACTTTTTCCTCATAAAAACGAACTTTTCCTCACAAAAAGGAGCTTTCCCTCCGAAAAAGGGAACTTTTCCTCAGAAAAAGTAAACTTTTCCTCACCAAAAGTGACTCCTTCCTCACGAAAGGAACTATTTCCTCACAGAAGGGGACTCTTTCCTCCCCCAAAAACGCCTTTTCCCTCACTTTCCAGCGACTTTTCCCCTCACAAATCGCGTCTCTCACCCTCCGCAGCGCTTCCCCCGCGGTCCCTCCCTCAGCCCGCCCCGGCGGGGGGCGCGGGCCGGGCCGGGCCGCGGGCGGCGGCGGCGGCGGAGGAGGAGGAGCAGCAGCAGCAGCGGGGCCGCTCCGCTCGCTCCCGGCGAGCCCAACAAAGGCGGCGGGGCCATGGCGGGCCCCTCGCCCCGCTGCGAGCCGCCCTAAGCCCGCCGAGCGCCGCCGCGATGTGGCCGGGCCGCGGCGGGCGGCGCTGGGCGCTGGCGCTGGCCCTGGCGCTGGCCCTGGGCGGGCGCTGCCCCGCCGCCCCCAACGCCTCGGCCGGGCCCCCGCGCTGCCGCCGCCCCGCGCCCTGCGAGCGGCTCCGCTTCGGCGCCTGCCTGGGCTCCGCGCTGCCCTACGCCGCCACCTCCACGCTGCTGGCCACCGACTCCGCCTCGCAGGAGGAGGCGCACGGGAAGCTGCTGCTCTGGTCCGGTACGGACGGGACGGCGCCGGGAGCGGGGAGAGTGCGGGAGAGGCCCGGCGTGGGGCTGGAGGGGGATGGGGAGCGGGGAAGGCGGAGAGAGCTTGGATGGGGGGTTTGGGTGTAGTGTGGGGGGGGCTGGGGATGGGTAAAGTATAGAAAACTTTGTAGAGGGGGTTTGGGGATGGGAAAAGTGTAGAAAACTTCATAGAGTGGGGCTGCGGATGGGTACAGTATAGAAAACTTTATAGAGGGGGCTGGGGATGAGTAAAGTATAGAAAACTTAATAGAGTGGAGCTGCGGATCGGTAGAGTATAGAAAAGTGCCTAGCAGGGGGCTGGGGATGGGTAGAGTATAGAAAACTTTGTAGAGGGGGTTTGGGGATGGGTACAGTATAAAAAGCTTTATAGAAGGGGTTTGGGGATGGGTACAGTATAGAAAACTTCATAGAGGGGGGCTGGAGATGGGTACGGTATAGAAAACTTCATAGAGGGGGGCTGGAGATGGGTACAGTATAGAAAACTTTATAGAGGAGGGCTGGGGATGGGTAAAGTACAAAAAACCGTATAGGAAAGTGCTGGGGATGGATAGAATATAGAAAACTGTAGAGGGGGTTTGGGGATGGGTATAGTATAGAAAAGTGCCTAGCAGGATGCTGGAGATGGGTACAGTATAGAAAACTGTATAGCAAAGGGCTGGAGATGGGAAGAGTATAGAAAACTGCATCCAGGGGGCCTGAGAATGAGTACAGTCTAGAAAGCTGTATAGAGGGGGGGATGAGGATGGGTACAGTATAGAAAAGTGCCTAGCAGGGGGCTGGGCATGGGTACAGTATACAAAACTTTATAGAGGGGGGCTGGGGATGGGTAAAGTACAAAAAACTGTATAGCACAGGGCTGGGGATGGGTACAGTATAGAAAACTGTGTAGCACAGGGCTGGGGATGGGTACATTATACAAAACTGTGCAGAGGTTGAGTGAGGATAGGTGAAGTATAGAAAACTGTGTAGCACTAGCCTGAGAATGAGTACAGTATAGAAAACTGTTCAGAGTGGGGCTGGGGATGGGTGCAGTACAGAAAACTGTTTCAAAACATTGTAGATGGGCACAATACAGAGGGCAGCAGTAGATTGGGGTACAGGGGGTGGATATGGGATAGCACAGGCCCAGGGGTGGGTGCAATATAGAAAAACCCATAGTGGGTGCAGAGGATGGGTACAGTGTACAGAGGAGCAGTAGGTTGGGTACAGTGTGGAAAACTGGTTAAAAAGGGACAGGAGATGGGTACAGTATAGAAAACTGAAGAAAAAAGGACTGGAGATGGGTACAGTATAGAAAACTGGTTTAAAAGGGACTGGAGATGGGTACAGTATAGAAAACTGATTGAAAAGGGATTGGAGATGGGTGCAGTGTAGAAAACTGATTGAAAAGGGGCTGGAGATGAGTACAGTGTAGAAAACTGATTTAAAAGGGACTGGAGGTGGGTACAGCATGGAGGGGAGCAGTACAGTGAGTGTCTGGGGATGGGCACAGCACAGAAACTGTACAGCACAGGAGTGGAGATCGTGTAATGTGGAGGGGAGCAGGAGATTGGGGTACAGGGAGGGTTTGGTGTAGAGGGGGAACGGGATGGAATGGCCTCAGAGATGGGTACAGCAGGAGGCTGGGGATGGGTGCAAAAATGGTTTATCAGGGGCTGGGGGTGGGCACAGTGTGCTCAAGAGCAGTATGGGGGTACAGTATGGAGGGGCAGTCCTGGCGATGGGTACAGTGACTCCACAGAAGCGTCCCAGTGCTGTGGGGACGGCAGGAGGGTCCCACACAGGGGTCCCAGCGCTGTGTGGGTGCTGTGGGGGCAGCAGGACGTGGCCGTGCCGGGGGTGGTGACGGTGCTGTCCCCTCCCCGCAGGCCTGCGCAATGCCCCGCGCTGCTGGGACGTCATCCAGCCCCTGCTGTGCGC